TTGCCACGTGGAGTTATCAGCTCAATAAATGACTTCTTGAACTCTTATGCAAACAGTTATTTGTACCATGCTTTTCAATCTACTGTCATCCAAGGTTTAGGACCTGTAACAACTTTTCCCATGTTTAGTGATACTCTGTGTATCGCCCATGGAAGTCACATAGGGATAAAACTACAATAGTAGGATTTTTTAAGTTTGCGTTATAGGATGGGAAGGAAATACTTGCAAAAAATATCTTTGAGTAGAAACAAACTTGGAAATTCATGATATATTCGAAGTAGGATTTTGGCTCTAATGCTTTTAAAGAAATGTCTGTGACTCCACACTGTGGGGTTACCTGCTGGCATGGCCCAGAGGAGGACAGCCAGCTGCCACAGACCAATTCCTTATTGATTTCAGAAAGGAATCACTGGGGTCCTTCATGGCAAAGATGCTCAACAGCCGCTGCAGTGCTGCCATCAGGTTGGGTGTAACATCCATTTTCCACGTATATTGGTATCATTTTCTTAGCATTGGTGAGCCTTTTGTCATCTTTCTGGGGCAGCTACTCCCCTGTGGCTTTCACGTGGCCTGGATAGTTGCCCTGTCAAGCGCTTTGCACAATAAAAACACACATGAGCACAGCCTTTTGGTGTTGCTCGGTGTCATGCAGAGATGGAGAGCACCCAGTGGGGCTGGCGTGAGGGTTAATAGGAAAGACAACACAGGGAGATTAATGTTACGCTGCCTCATCACGCTCCCGTTGCCTTACGTCACCCCACAAGCTATTGACCTTCAGATGGAGTCTCAGGAATAAAAAGAAAGGTTTGATCTCCAGGACTTCTGTTTTGAAACACAACAAAGCTGCTCAGAAGGCCCTTCCCATGCTGGAATTTCATAAACAGGAGGGACAGAGGGAGACTGTCTCATTTTTTTTCCATGAAAATTGGGCCCCTGTCTTGTGGTCAGTGCAGATCTGTTGGAGCCAAGGTGGCCTGGAGGGAGGTTTCAGTTATGGGAAGGGTCCAGCACTGCAGCAGGTGGAAGCCAGTGCCTTGTAGAGAAGGCATTCCCGTGACTCTCCAACCACACACCTTCTCCAAGTGCATGAGAAGAGGGGCTAAGGGCCAGCTCAGGCTTGGGGCTTTCAGCAGAGAAGTTCTCCACCCAACTTCTTTTGCTGTCTTCAGCCAAGAATGTGACTTCCTGGAGTGGCACACTGCCTGTCTCCCCCCCACTAGCTGCAAGGTGACATCCTGCATGGTATCCCTGCAATCAGCAGGGACCTTACTGGTCTCCAGAGGGTTTTCAGTCAGGGTCACCATCAGGTCTGGTGTGTTCATCCCCTCTTTCCCTGCCTTTGGTGTGAATAGCATGGGGCAATTTAATAACTGCAGAGCTCCCTGCATTTGCATTTCCATACCATGTGTGCCAAAGGACAGGCACAACATGCTGCTGCTCATCCAAGGACTCCTGTGCTAACTCCCAGCAGCTCTGGCAAGGATGCCAGCTTGGTCTGCAAACAATGGCACGCTCGGTAGCTACAAACACTGGGCCACATGATTCAAACCTTTATTTTTAAACCTCTGAACGTCCATCTCAGTCTTGCCCCTACAAAGGCTTCAAACAGCACAATGCCAGCAGATACCACCAGCCAGCCATTACCTGTGATGTCTTTAACCAGTCCTTTGGCCCCAGCCTTTTCTGGAGTCATGGATGAGCGGACACTTGCCACTAAGTCCCCAACTATGCCGTGGAGAGCAGTAAAATTCTCTAGGTTGAAACGGTGCGTATCGAAAGGTTCGCTCTCTATTTCCTTTAGCTGCCCTTCCACTGCATCCTGCACGCCGACCGCAAACATGTTTACACGGGCCGATTTAAGGACAGATGATGGCAGAGCCACATCATCCCGGGGCCGTCCGTCCGTTAACACTATAATAACCTGGGGGACGCCTTCACTGGCTCTGCTTCCAGCAGCTTTAGTGAGATGGTTCTCGATTAGGTACTCTAATCCTTTTCCAGGCTTGGTGCCTCCCCCCGCGTACGACATGTTGGCAATATGGGACAGGACGTCTCGGGTAGAGGGGTAGGTATTTAACTGGAACTCTGTGTGGGGGTTTCCGCTGAACTGGACCAGGGCAAAGCGGAAATCATTTCCTCCCACATCTAAAGCTTTTACAACATCATACAGAAACTCTCGAACAAGTTGGAAATGTTCCTTCCCAACGCTCCAGGAGGAATCCACTAGAAATATTATATCAGCCACGGCAACGGTTTTGACAGCTTTAAAAAAACAGATGGGGGTTTAGGATTTTCTACGATCAGCACAAGCACATCTCCTCCACCTCCTCCTCCTCACCCAAACAACCAACAAACAACCAACAGCCCCTTCCACACGGTGACAGTGAAGTTGAGCTTCCCCTCATCACCCGCAGCAAAACGAGAAGCGCTGGAGAACAACCAGGCAGCCGTCAGCACCTGACACTGCAGTCAGGGGGGGACAGGAGGGGACAGCATGCAACCTACCCTTCCCAGGGAGGGGGAGCTGAGGTGCTTCTCCCCTCCCCTCACAGGTTTGGACACCAGCCCTGAGCCAGACAAAGACGCTGGCAGCTCCAGATGTGAATTTTAGGCTCATTCCGTTTCTAGCTGCCCATGGTCTCCTGCACGTTTTTTGCTGACTCAGGGCTTTGCTGGTTCTGTGGTGGTTCTCAGGGAAGGAAGGGCTCCTTGGTTTAAGCAGCCTGGGTGCTGGCATGGGTTTTCCATATTTTTCCTGCTGTTAACACCCCCCGCAGTGACACCAGCTCTGGTCCCAAAGGCACCAGCACCTCCTCTTAAAGCAGCCTCCCTGCAGGTCAGTAGCAGTGGTCTTCTCACTGCTAAAAGCCCTCCTACACATGCAAGGAGGGCAGAACAGCTCTGCCCACATGAAAACCCTCTCGGGGCCACCCTGGGTGCACACCCCACAGCCCAGTCCCCCGCAGAGCATCCTCAAAGGCACGGCACGGGCCAGCGACATGCTCGGGAGGGCACCGTGCGCACTGGCAAGGTCTGGGTCCTCAGGGACCCTCAGCGAGGTGGGAGCTGCGGAGCAGAAGGTCATCAATCCACAACATACCATCGACATGCATGTTAAGAAACAAACAGGGTGAGCTAGTGGCTCGTTTGTACAGGGCCAAAGTCAGGGGAAGCAGTCTGGTCTTACCTGCCTGCTGCTGGGCACGAACCGAGCAAAATCCTGGGAGTAGGAGACAAAACACTGCCACAAAGGGCAAATGTCGGTGTTTCCTCATTTTGGTCTTTTTTCTGAGCTTTCCTTTTATTCTCTTTGTTTCAAAGCACCCAGTATGAGACCTAAGGGAGAAAAACAGGGAGAGTGAGAAACAGCAGCAGTGCTGGCCAGGCACGGATGAGGCATGAGATAGAAAAGCTGAAACTATGTGGTTTTAAAAGGCTTTTGTGGCATTTTGGCAGGAAAGAAAATATTTTACTGCTGGACAGTCTACTTCGTAGCAAGCAACCCTTTGCAAGAGGAATCCTCACTCACATAATTGACATTTAATCACCCCTGTGGACTGAGATGACTTTCCTCTCACCTGTGCTGTCCCAGGTAATACTGAATACACAGGAAATTGCTGAGCCTACATTTCTACCATCAAAATATGTCATTGCCTCTCACCTGCCCTCCTCACCCACGGATGACCAGCTGAAACATCTTGGCCAAGATGTTCCCTCTTGCTGTTGCCATTTCTTATTTTATTTTTTCTAAACACCACAGTAATTGCCCTGAACCTCTCGCTTAGCCTCAGCTCACCTTTTCAGCTGTCGCAAATGTACAAATGGAAATTTAAATACTCCAGACCCAACTGAACCACATGATCTGGCTGTACAGCAAAAAGGCCTTGGACTCCCCCAGGCTCACAGCCCCAGTGGTGGAATAGCCTATGCTGGCTGATCGTATTTTGGAAAGGCCCCAGGAATAATATTTTATCTCTCGGAGCCAAAAATATAATTTAAGCAAGTTTGTTATCTGTGATCCACCTGGCAAGCCTTCTGAAACAATGTCTCTGTCAGGAAAGCCGTGTTTCTGTTGTCATGGAGATGACCAATTTATTATTTAATCTTCATTTCCAAGCATACGGAGCAGAAACCAGCAAGGCTTGCTTAACTGAGAAAATATCCTCCCAAAAGGGAACACAGTGATTTAATACTTTTCATTCCACAAAAGGAGCTCAATTACTCAAATCAGCCAAAAGTGACTCAGATACATCAAACTGTTAACCAGGTCATCATCATAAAAAAAAAAAAAAAGGTAATTCAATTTTCTTAATACCATCCTTGCCAATTCCATCAATCCAGGGAGTTATGACCAATACAAGAGCCTCAGAGGGCTAGGGGGAAGAGGAAAGCCACGGTAATTACACTGATGGCCATTGCTGGCATGGCTGGAAATGGAACCAAGAGCTGGGAATTTGGAAAAATTTGGAAATAGGCAGCTAATCCCACTTTCATTGAAGAAACACTCCTCAGGGCTATCACAGGGCAGGGTAGTGGAAGAGAGGGGACAACTTCCACCTGGTTTCCCAAAACCTGACTTGATCCTGACATTGGCATTTATGAGTTTGGAAAAAGCTACCTTCTACCTTTCCCCCCACATTTGTGAATAATAATTATAATGATATAATAACAACAGTAATGATGCCAGATGGAGAGACATTTGACAGGCACCCAGAGCCAGCAGTTAGCACACAATGTGAGTTAAGACACAGCAAGTCTTCCCTGTTATTGGCAATCCCTCAATCCACACAGGCAGCTGCTGCAGCCCAGAGGTATCGCTGTCATTCACAAATAAATTAAAAAATCACATTTGTGAGCTGGCACCGGTCAATCCTCCTGGCTGTTCCACTCCAAGCCCAACCTCCCAATGCCTCCACTGGGAGCAAACCTGCTCTGCTGGACCGTTTCCCCAATGGACAGCTTGCTCTTGGAAAAACTAGTTTCACCCAAAGGACACATGGAGAGGGAAAACCTCTGCTTCCCCATGGATGCAGGATTAGCCACGGGGTTTGACCCCTGAGCACACAAATACAGAAAGTTCTGTAGGTCCCAGAGCTGGGATTTGCAAAAAAGCACTGAGCTCATGACAACCACCCATTCGACCCCATTGGAGCATCTCCCCTTGGGGAAGAAGAGGTTTAGGGAAGAGCTGCATGTTTTTGGAGAGGGGCTTGCCTTGCAGCACCCACTGGGAGTGTGTAGAAGCCAAGAAGAGCTCTCAGGCACATGGTGGGATTGTTGGGGTGGCCCATGCAGGGCCAGGAGTTGGACTTCCATGATCTTTGTGGGTCCCTTCCAACTCAGGATATTCTAGGATTCTGTGGTTCTAAGATAAGGGGGCTAATGTGTGTGTCAGAGATCAGGGTCTGACAGACCAATTTCCATGCCAAGTGTGTAATTTACCAATAAAACTGTGTAAGCTTTTGTGGACCCTCTGACTTTTGTCTTTCCTTTCAACCCTGAGCATCCAAGAATCTTGGGTGCTCCCTTCCCCTTTAGACTGGGATGCCACAGATTTAAAATGCTGCTAGCAATGAATGAAAAATACAAACTAAAATTCATGCAAAGGAAAAACAGCCCATTAAAATAATGTATGCTGTCAAAGTGCTCATATTTCTTTTCCAGAACCTAGGAAGTTATGTTATCATCCTGTGTATTAGAATGCTGGCAGCCTATCCCAGCAACAGCTGGGGACGAGCAGAGCATCAGGATAAACCAGTGATAATTAATGTCTTGCCAGCCAATAAATGACAAGACTGAAGCAAACATTTGGGAGCTTTGGGGTTTTTGCACTGAGCAGCTGCACAGAGCCTGTTTACAGCCATGAAATGCAGCAGAAGGGAAAAGAGAAACCCCCTGGTGCTACAAAATCCTCCCTGCCCATGGGATCCCCTGTGACCTTCCCACAGCCCATGGGCACCATGAGAGGAACCTGGATAACACAGTTTACCAAACCAACACCCAGAGTCAGCTGTTATTTCTTCTCCCTGACTGGGAAATACAATGCCTTTCCCAAGCAATAATAAATTGGCTACTCTTTTTAATCACCTCCTTTCCCATTTTTGCCTTTAGGAGGCCTCCAGATCTATTTCCAGCTTTCTCAGTGACCTCCATCGTGGTCACATCATAGTCCTGTGAAAGCAGAGGGACTTGTTCATCAACAAGTGATGAGCTTCAGCATCATGCAAAACCATCCATTCTTATGGCAGGTATTTGTTTTGCAACTTTATTCTCCTGGGTTTTTGGATTTTCAATATTATATCTTGAGTAAGGCGATTTTATGGTGGATTTGTTTCATTTTTTAAATGAAAAGTCCCTTGCAGTCCTGGGAGGGGGTGAAAGCTCTGGTGAAGCATTTGATATAAACACTGCAGGCTGGAAAAATAAGCTGAAAAAACTGGCTGCTGAGTGTCTTTAGGAAAGGAAAGAGTTTTCCTGAACTGTTAAGAACTAGCACCAAAACGTGGGGAGCCAGTTTCTTCATGATTCATGTGCTAAAACACTAACTCCTTGTTAGACTTAAATAATCTGAAGGTTTTATGTGTGTTTGGAGTTTATATAGTGTGTGCTGACCTCTTAATATTACAATATGTCCTCCATCAGAAGAAATACATCTGTTCCTAATAATGCTCTCAAAAAGCAATCATTTCTATCCCTGACACAATGAAGTGATTTCCTTAAATATTTTCCCCAGCAGCTATTTTTTGCATATTACATATTTCTCTGTGCATAAAATTCGACATTTTACATCTTTTTCTCCTTTATTTTCCCTCGAGGGAATGTTTCAAATTCACTTTCTAAGCAATCATCTGCTTGTGTATGTGGTTTTGTTTTGTTTTTTTTTTCACTAGAGTATGTTTAAAAGAAAATCTTTTAAAAAGTTTTTTTTTTTTGAGATTCTCATCTCAAAAGATGAGAAGACTTAGAAAGCAAAACATAAAAGGCAAGGAAAAATTACTGCAGCTGTTGCATACCACTTTGGTTCATTCTATCTGCCTCTGAGCTGGGCTGCCTGGCTTTGGGAAGGTGGGGAAGCATCTATGGGAATGTGATGTGTGTCATGCAGGGATATAGATAGGTGCAATAGCATGCAGAGGGAATAACTAATGTTGCAAAATTCCTCTTAAATCTGAATTCTCAGCTGGGCAGTGCTTCAGGCACTGATGTTATCTGTCATGCTGGACTCTTAAGAGAAAGCAATAAGCTGTCAGAGGGGTTTTCTGTCCTGGCATTTTGTAGTTTGATACTTTTTTTATTAAGGTTAAAGGGCTGAGGTGGACAGAACTGACTCTTGGCATGTGATAAGCAGGAAATCCAAAATCAGTGACTAATATTTTCATAAGGGCCTGGAGTGACAGGACAAGGGGGAATGGATTCCCACTGCCAGAGGGCAGGGTTAGATGGGATATTGGCAAGAAATCCTTCCCTGGGAGGGTGGGGAGGCCCTGGCACGGGTTGTGCAGAGAAGCTGTGGCTGCCCCATCCCTGGGAGTGTCCAAGGTCAGGTTGGACAGGGCTTGGAGCAGTCTGGGCTAGTGGAAGGTGTCCCTGCCCATGGCAGAGGGCTGGAATGAGATGGTCTCTAAGGTCTAAACCATACTGACATTTGGGACATTTTTTCCCCCTCCCAGCGACACATTCGTGCTGTGCAGAGCTGAGCAGCCTTTGGGAAAGGGCAGAGGACCCAAAGCAAGCATGGTAGACAGAGCTATAACTGGTATGCTTTTCTGGGGGCAAATGGTCTGGGTTTGGGCTTGGTCTCGTGCAGCTTTGCCACCTGTCACAGCCAGGAATGCCTCACTGCCTCAAACCGTGGTACATGTACTCCAGTTTTCCTGCCCAGCCCCAGAGCATCCCCAAAGAATATATGGAGTAAAAACCTGAGAAACAATGTCATCTCTTAAATTCCTTGTGCACAGAGGGTGCATCATGTTGTACTGAGAGAAAGAGGTGGATTTGCAGCTAGGTCCCAACAGGTTTCCTGAAAGGAGATGAGGGAGGGCAAAGCATCGTCCCAGAGATGGCGCAAGAGATGAGATGTTGTGAGCATCCTCCAGACCCCTCTAAAAGTCTGTCTCGTGGGATGTCAGAGTCAAAACCAAGCTGTTTCTGCTTTCATCTCAATTTGCTTTGTGGGGATCTCATCATCACCCTGTTTCCTAACCAAACTGCTTGGCCTCAAATCCCTTTGGCTTGCCTGTTGTCTGCTGTATCCACATCCATAGGAACTGGCAGTGAAGACAAGAGGCTGCTGTAAGCCTTGCCAGTGGCTTGAAAGTGAGTGCCAGCCACCCAGAACAGCTGTTTGCACCCCCAGCAGTGGGATATGCATCTGGTCACGCTGTGGAGCAAGCAGGGAGGAGAAATCTGAACTCCTGATATGGAGCCTTAGAGGCACAGATGGCATGCTCCTCTCTTGCCTGGATAAATACCCTGTTACATTTCTTTCAGCTGGGCAAATTGTTAGCCAAAAGCTACTCCTAGCAGTGATTTGGGCACATGTGAGGCTAAATGCCAGGATTTTTCCATGTGAAACAGCTGGGTTACCTTTTCCAAGGGACATAAGTGTCCCATGCCTGGCTGCCTCTTCATCGCAGAGCACTGAATCTCACCTGACTCCACGGCATTCAGGAGAAGCAAAACTACTTCCAGAGGCTCAGGATGAGCTTGAATAGGACAGATCCTGGATTTATTCATGGCTACAGGTGGAGCCATTTAAATCTGCATGGACTCTTTTGAAGCGTTTCCATGAAGGTTGCTGCCATGTGGCACTGGGAAGGTGAGGCTTGTTGGGCTCCTACAAAGGTACACCTGAATATTAAGAGCAAACAAGCCTGAAAGGGTGGAAAATTTTCCTGATTTTGCAAACCTTGTGAGCTCCAATTCAGCAAAGTGACAGTGTTAGGCTGTGTTTATATCCTATCCAGGCTAGTTCCCTGGCTGTGTTTGATATGAATCATATACTCATTTTTGTCCTTCTAAGCATGCTGCTGGCTTAAAATCTAGTTGTTTTCTTCATCCTAAGGCTGAGACTAAAATAGAGTCGTTAATAAGGGGAAAGGGAGTATTTGCTAAAAAAGAAGAGGAAACTCCCTCAAAGATCAATGACTCTTTATGTATAGTAACTGAAGCCTCCCGGAGCCTCTCCACCCAAACAAATCGGCTGCTTAATGTGGAACACAGAGCACTTAAAAACGTGGAAAAAGTGATGGGCACGCGGAGGGGTAAGGCTGGCTGTGATTCACAGCAGAGACCAGGCACGCACTGCCACCCTCTGCCGTGCACGCCCAGCACAGAGACAGCCTCACCCCTGGAAATCCAGCGCATCCAGGCTGGGGGAATACAGTCCAAGACTGGCAAGGCTGTGCAGTTACCACAGTTTGTACTAATGGAAGGAATAAGATGTTCCCTTCCCTTCCCTCCTGTTTCAGGACAGGCACGTAGCAAAAGTAGAAGAGGAACTTCCCCCGCCTCCCCCCGCCTTTGACATGTGGGAGTAAAGCAGGGGCTGGTTTAGCTCACCCTGAAGTCAGGGCAAGTTAATGCATTTGAATGGAAAATGGTAGAGATGTTTGAAAAACCAGAAAGGGGGACTGGGAAGAGTGCTGGAAAACGGAAAGGGAATGAATGAATGAATGGCAATGTGGTGGCAACAAGCACAAAGCCCTCCACTCCTGTCCTAAAAATGCCATCACAGCCCTGGTCACGGTCAACCTCTCTAAAGAGCAGGACTGAATGAAGGTTTGGGGATGAAAAGTCTGTTTCCCTGAACTCTGATACCAGTGATTTAAGGGATGGTGCCAGGGAAGTGCAGAGTCTCTCCTCTGCCACTGCATTCCTACACGGCCTTGAAGGAATCCTCCGGCTCCGTGCAACAAACTCAGGCTGGAGACATCTGTCTGTCCTCCACAAACCTCCTAAACTGGGTGGTTGTGCCCCAGAAGCAGCACTATGTAAGCACAGTAATTATCT